CGGCTACATCTCTTAGGCAGCGCCCGAGCCACTTCCCCGCAGGACCCATCCAGGGGAGGCCAGCTCCTGAGCGTGCTGCCGTGTCCCCGTTGCAGAACGTGTCCTTCACCCTGCACCCTGGCCAAGTGACGGCGCTGGTGGGCCCTTCAGGGAGCGGGAAGAGCTCCTGCGTCAACATCCTGGAGAACTTCTACCCGCTGCAAGACGGGCAGGTGCTGCTGGACGGGCACCCCATCGCCACGTATGACCACAAGTACCTGCACTCCGTGGTACGAGCGACCGCGTCACGCCTTCTAGCTAGCGCCTGCTGCGCGCGGAGGGGTGGGCTCCTCGCAGGGACGGGTGGTAGCGTCGCAGGTTGCTTTGGGTGTGAGCTGGCAACTCCTGAAGTGTCCAGGGAGCCGGAGGCTGGAGCTGGGGCAAGAAACGAGTGCAGATAACCTGAGGGGGCAGAAGGGAACGGGATGAAGTTTGGTTTCATGGGGAGGGGGAGCTTTTTCGAAAACAAGAACAAGGTTTTGTTTTGTATTTTTTGGCTAGCCCACTAAAAATGCGTTTTTGGTTGTTGGATGAATTATAGTCTAAATTGGATTTGAAAAAAGCGTTCTGCATTCCTCCAGCACTTTCTACCTTTGTGTTTTAAAGTAGCTCCCAGACGCTGGGCAGTTAAAGCTCCCCGTATCCCCGGCAGCAGCTGGAGCACCGGAGGGGCTCGGGGCTTTGCCCGGGAGTAGGGCCCCGGCCCTCGGGCTCATCTCCCGTGCGGATAACTGCCCTCTTTGTTCGCCCCACGCAGTAACCGGCCTCGGGAGTCAGCCGGGAACCCAAACAGCCGCCGAGAGCCTGGCCTGGAAAGCCCAGCTCTGCGGCTCATTGACATTCCCTTCCCATAGGCAGTGGAAATCAAAAGACAGACGCGTCTTTCAGTTTAGAAAGCCTGGTGTGGTGTTGGGAGCGTGGGGAGAAGTCAATTAAAATAGGAGCATATCGCACTGTCTCTCCTGTTCTGAGTGATAAATTGGAGGGTTTAATTTATTTCAGTATGTAGAAACGTTTAAAAAAAAGGAGGTTAAATTCACGAGCGAGCAGCAATGGCTCTAAAGGCCGGACACGGAGGCTGTTGCTCCGTGGACTTGGAGCAACCGTAGCTTCCTACTTTCTGAATTAACCGATGTAGGAGGGCTCATTCGTGGGGCCCAAGCATGATGCAAAGCAGGCAAGAGCCTGAGTGAGGGTCTCCCGGCCTGCCTCGTCCCAGTACCCAGGGCTGGTTTCCCATACTGGGATGGGCAGACCGTGCTGGGAAGGGCCGGGAGCCAGGTGGCTGCGGGGGAGCCTGTCCTGGCATCTCCTCGGCTGCCACCCACCTGCTGTCCCCTCCCTCTCCGCAGATCTCCCGGGTGAGCCAGGAGCCGGTACTGTTCGCCCGCTCTATCGCGGACAACATCTCCTACGGCTTAACGTCCGCCTCCTTCGAGTCGGTGGTGCAGGCCGCCCAGAAGGCCAACGCGCACGCCTTCATCACAGAGCTGCAGGACGGCTACCACACAGGTACCAAAAACCCGCTGCCGTGCCGCGGGGCCGGCGTCCCGACCCCGGAGAGACAGCGGCCGCACAGGTCGGGCAGGAGTGGCTTTACGGAGCCGGCTGTTGCCCTGCCAGCACCGAGGGTTCGAGGTTGGGGTGATCTCCAAAGGCTCAGGGACTTCTCGGCATCATCCCCACCAGCAGCAGTCCCCGTGTCCTGGGGCAACTGCGTAGACTTGCTGCTGGAGGGAAGGACTGAAGCTTCAGGGGTGTTAAACCACCCTCCCAAATGAAGCAAAAGTGTTCGCCCAATCTTTGCTTCCAAGAGTGACGCTGCGGCGGCACTGTTGGCTGGGAGCTGGCTGCGATGGCAGCTCTTGATTTCGTTTTGACCCTTTCCTCTCTCTTTCGATCCAACAGAGGCAGGTGGAAAAGGCGGGGGGCCAGAAGCAGAGAGTGGCTATTGCCAGGGCCCTGATCCGAAACCCCCCCATCCTCATCCTGGACGAAGCCACGAGCGCGCTGGACACCGAGAGCGAGCATGCGGTGAGTTGGTGACTCCGTTGTTTGGGCCGAGGAGGCAAATTGGGTTTGGAGGAAAGGCTGTAGCTTCAGTTTCCAGCCCGCAGACAAGCGGGGTCTCAATGTGGTGCAATCGGCATAGGGAAGGTTGGCCTAAGACGCTCATTCCTGAACACGAACCACTTCCAACCTTGCCCTGTAGCCACCGAGGAGGGAACAATCCTGTGCAGGGCAGTCCGGAAGCTCGGGGCTGGCGCCGCAGGCTGGGAGGCGGATGGAGGCTCTGCCTGCGCTGGGCTCCGGGCTGCGTCCCGCCGGTACGGGCTGCAGCTTCGTCCGGGGCGCTTTGGTAAGGTGTGACGCCTGCGCTGCGTATTTCCAAACCTCGTTCTTCAGCGTCAAAGGTGGCAATGAAAACATCTTCTATAGTGTAGCCTACGTCTCCCCCAGGGTTACGTCCTTGGGGCGAGCACCCCTCGCAGCACCCTTGGGGCCAGAGCGGGTAACACACCCTGATGTACAACAGAGAAAGGAAAGAAATCAGCATTATGGGGAAATCATCCTTCTTGCTACACGGGCAGGTTGAAGCCTTTACAAACTGGCCCCTGGTATTTCTGAAGAGCTGCAATTAGCCCCTGGAGCCCAGCTGATCACCGGGACAGCCAGGCCGTCCTGGGGCAGCGCGAACGCCCACGGGCTTTGCTCCGTCCCCAGCCCCGTGTGTTGTTTCTGATGCCAGCCAGGAGCTGTTTTCAGCTATGTGGTGTCAGTTTGGCACCTGCTTGGTGGGCAGCTGCCTGCCTTAATGCCTTAGCCCCACTCGCAGGCTCTTTGGCTGGAAAACAGCTCTCTCTGCTTTGCCTTGATACCAGCCAGGTAATAGCCCCGCTTTTCTGAGCAGCTGCATTTACTAGGCATTGGCTTCCTACGGTCTGTGCAGCAGGGCTGCAAATTCGGGGCCCTGCTCGGACAAGAACTCGGCTTGCGGGATCAGACCCCCTCCTTTAACACCCCAAATCATTCCTGGCAGAGCATGCGTACAAACAGCATTCGTAGGCTGTCTTTTGCTGAGTTGAGGCAGTCTTTAGCGCTGCACAGTAAGAGCCGGGAGCTGGGATTGACCTGCTGGCGCTGTTAATGCTACAGGGAGCAGCGCTCCTGCACCCGCGGCATACCCAGGCGCGAGCAAGCCTCCCCTTCGGAGGTTCCTTAACGCGGAGCCGCTCTTCTCTGCTGCCAGCGACGCTCGCGCACTAACGTCTTTTCCTTCCGCGCAGATCCAGCAGGCGATTTACGGCGACTTGCAGAACCACACCGTGCTTGTCATAGCTCACAGACTGAGCACAGTGGAGAAGGCACACAACATCGTTGTGCTGGACAAGGGCCGCGTGGTGCAGCAGGGCTCGCACAAGGAGCTCATGGAAGAAGGAGGCCTTTACTGCAAGCTGGTGCAGAGACAGATCCTGGGGCTCGAGGCAGGCGGCGCGGACAGCCGCCAGCCCACAGCCCGGGGCGATTTGAGGAAGGCGCCTGGCGGGCTGGCAAGTGGTGGCGGCAGGGGCCGGCGGTCGAGACGCTTGCTGGGACGCCGAGGCAGGAGGCGGCTTGCCGATGGGCTCGCGCGCCGCAGAGCGAGGCCCGTTTGCTCATCGCGCGCGCCCCCGTGTGCACCGCGCACACATGCACCCACAAACACACTATCGAGCTTCCCGCGTACGGTCCAGCGGGCAGATGCCTGCTGCTTAAACAGGGAACCAGATTTATTCGAGGCAGTTGGGTCTTTAGCAATTCCCAGCGTTTCTGCTGGGTTTCTTTTCTTACGATCAGTAATTCCTCTTGTCTGGGACTTTTCTCCCACTGATATGCATGTGTAACTGCTCTTAACTGTTATGGATGTTAAATGCATGCACAGAGGGGAAGATTGAAAACCCCTTCAGGAATTTCAGGAGGTGGCTTTTGTGGCTGGATAGGAGAGCAGTGACTATTAAACAGGGTCCTGCTCCTGCTGTCAGTCTGTGGGGCCAATCCAAAGCCTGCCGAAGTCCGCAGGAAACTCCCTTCGGCTTCGGTGGAAACCGGATCGCTCCCCTGGTGCAGAACGCCAGGCGAGCGTTGCACTGAGTGCCTGCAGGCTCAGGCCCACAACCATTGCTGCTGAGCTTGTATCATAGAGTGACCATCCTTGCTGGGATGAGCCAGGGGACTGGGAGGCAGATGCTGCTTTCAGATTTGCTCTTGGTGCTCGGTGGGTGTTTGTTTTTGTTTTAGGGATGAAAAGTTTAACCATAATTGCATTAGTGGGTTTGGGTTGTTTTTTTTTTTTAATTAATTTATCTCTGTGTGCATTGTGCAATGTCTGTCTGGCTCCAGCATCCACTGAAAGTTAGTCTGTTATTTCAGTGTTTTTTAACTTACAACCCTGGTGCTGGTTTGAAAAACTTTATTAAAAACAGGCATAATACTAAAAGACAGCACTTTATAAATCCCACCAAAAGCTTCATTCAGTTCCAGGCAATGCTAGCGACTTCACTGCATGGAAAATCCACACAGTCACTTACTTTGAAGTCACATTTCAGCTGCCTGAACTTTAAAATGTGTTTCTTTGAATATTATTTATTAACTTATTTTTAGTAAGAGGGGAGGAAAGAAATATGTTGTTCCTAGTCTTTTTGGGATAATGGCTCTGGCTTAGTCGTGTTACCCTGCCATAGACTGGTGAAGAGACCTGTGCAGCCAGGCAGGTGCTATTGAAAAATACAGGGAAGATTGATTTGGACTGTGCGCAGTTGAGAAACAACCTCAAGCACTTTAGCTCTCATGTTTTCTGATATTTGAATGCTGCTGTGTTTTACTTTTGGGTAGTTTTGTTGTTGGCAATGTTTTGTTTTTGTTCAGTGACATTTTACAAACACTTTAGTGTCCTTGAGGAGGGATGCTCTCAAAATAAAATACTACCTCTGCCACTCAACAGCTGAGCCAGTCTAGCAGGGGGTGTTTCTTGCACTCAGAACATCCGGGTTTTCAAGGTAATGTTCAGCTGAGATGATGGATGAATATAGCTGCATAGTGCGCGCGTTCTGGCTCCCTTGCGGGGGAAGGACGAGATGTGGTACCTGCAGAGAATTAGGCATGCAAACAATTTCAGCATCTGATAATGGCTGTGAACCACAGCAGGAGGTATAACCAGTTTAAGAACTTGTTTTCATCCCGGATCCCATCTGGTAGTCAGTGTCATACAAAAGGACAGGCAATCTAATCCGTTCTCAGAGCACAGCGCTTCGTGACTGCAGTCTTTTAGCTGCTTGCTTTTGTGATATGATAAACATCTGTGCCTTGGAAGAACGAGAGCTCTCTATCTTCCTGCGCGTAGGAAACCTCTGTCGCCCTCCAAACGCTCACCTAAGCCGTTCCTCAGTTAGTTCAGCACTTAAGCAGACATCCCGGTACATTCCTGCTTGATGAGAGTTTGCACTGCGGGTACGAGGAGGTTTGGGGTTCCACCCAGCGCTGCAGGGCACGTGGTTACTTCTGCACTCATAGCAGTAGCTGGGAGCAGAGTGGGGCCAGCGGTTCATAAAAGTAGAATTAATTTCTGCTTAGTAGAATAACTGTAGAGGGCGGAAGATAACCTGGGAACCAGGAAGTACTGTTAGGACCGTGCTCATTAGTAGGAGAGGATGCTAGAAAAGAGCTAGTGCTCTTCCCCAAGTGTGCTGCCTGAAGGGGAATCGGAGGATACAAACTGGTTAGTTTTATTGCAGAGACTGCACTCCACGTCAGGAAGGGAGCCCTGCTTCCCAAGCCCGTTGTGGTGATAATCCCATCTTTGTACTCCCAGCTGAGATCCAAAAAGCTTCAACGGAGATGGCACGTTGGAAACTGCAGATTGTCTCTGTCTCTGCTAGTGGCGGCAGTCCAGCGCTGTAACAGGGCCTGGCTTTGTTCCTTGCCACAGGTGCTGAATCCGCTCTTGCGCATCCAAATAACTCAAGGCTACTTTTTTGCTGAGCCGTACGTCTCATGGCTTGTCCAAGTCCTTTTATTGTGCTGTCAGAGTGCGATGACTGGATCTGCCTGCCTGCTAAAGCTGGGAGGCTTTCCTTGTGGCCTGGAAGCATGGTGGGAACGCCATGCCCTGCCTGGGATCCGGTAGTACTAAGCTAATGCAGACTTTCTTAGCCCAGTATCCAAACCCGTACAAACACTGCAAACGTACAGAAAATCCTGCTTTTCAAAATCATTCAGACTACGACTGCTCTTTATGCTGGGATTCCCCTACCTCCAGGGATGCTGCTTTAGTTAGCATCCCAATGCACTCCATAGCCACTTGCTCAGCATTTTATTTATGTACACCACCACTTCACTTTGTTTTCACGAGGACTGTCGTGACGGGTCCGTCCGAAAGCCCTCTTTTCAGACCTCTCACTCTCTCTTACACAGCCTGTATCTCTCAAGGGAGCCTAAGAAAACTTGGGTGGGGATTGTTTGACTGAATTCATAAGGGCTTCCTTGGAAAACTGTAGCTAAATAAATTAGAGCATGAGTACAAATAGATATTCTGTGCTAAGTCTCCGTGTGAGCACTTGCTCCTCTAAGGGTATGCCTGCGATGTGAAATCCCTGGTGCAGGGTCAGCAATGCCTGGTAGCTAGCCGCCCTGGCAGGGAAGATGAGTTTTAACTTGGTGTAGCAATGGGGATTCCTTCAGCGCTGGAATACGAGCTGCCTCCTGCAGCTAGTCCCCATCCGCTGGGCCTCGCTGCCTGCGTACAGTCACTGTCTGTATTTCAAGCTATTCTCTCCTGGAGAGAAAGCCACTGTTGCCTCTGAAACCCTAAACCGTAGCATTTTGTGGCTGTGGATTTGCCCAGAGGTGAGGTTTACGTGGGAACACAAACAAGATGTGTTCAGGCGTTTCTCAATTACATGATGCAGAGAAAAAGTTTCTTCTCAGAGACGAGGCTTTTCTCTGCAGGGAACTCGGAGGGGTTTATCTGAAGCCTTAACTCATGGAGCATGGTTTGCAGACTGTCACCGCAGAGCTGGAAGCAATTAGGCATTTGAAAGCACAAGTGATGACAAAGGTCGACTGTATACCCTATCACATGTTGTTTCTTCCGCTATTATCAGCCCTAACCATTCCCTGTAATAGGTATAACCATAGCTTTATTTGATTTAAACACTGGAGAATCCTATCCAAGATGAAGTTCAAGAATAGATCCTTCAGTCTTAGCCGTTCCCCAAGGACCTGTTTACCCCTGTACCTTTGCACAGACGAGGTATGTGGCTGCCTGGCTGACCCAGTAAATGGGTAACAGAAAAAGCACAGCTGTGTTTATTCCAACAACTTGTCTCCTGGTGCACCAGGCTCTGCCTCGGAAAGCAGTTGTGTTCATTTCAGTGGTTGGGCTTTCTAGGCCTACGACGGGACTGGAAATACCGCAAGCAAACACACAGTGTTTCCAGTTCGGGTTCAAAGATGCATCTCAGTCTGGTGAGGAAAAACAGCACCTGTTTTTTCTGCTCCAGCTTCACTGTGAACTTAAGGCAAAGAAGGGTATATGCAGGTATATAAATCTCATCTTCTTCTGCGGCCCCCTGAAAGAAAGAAGTACCGACAATCAATTCTTGCTCTCTCAAACAGCAGTGGGACCGCGGTTTCTCTCCCAAAATGCTGAATATGCAGGTCACTTTCATACATGAAGGAATGTAGATTACGAAGTCTGACTAGAAGTGTGGACTTTGATGAATACGTAGAAGGAAATTAAAGTGCTGATAAGCCTGAAAACTTCTCTGTCCATTGAGCAATCAGACTAATAAGGGTTAATAAACTCCACATATTAGACTTGCAAATTCAGTCTCTACGTAACCAACCAGTTTTTCCAGGAAAAGAAAAGTTGTTGTTGTGAAGGTGACTTGCAAAATATGTCTAAATCTAATAAATATGCATTGGTACAGTGCTGTTGACCTTAAAAGGATATGAGATGACAGAAGGAAATCCAGGATCAGGTTTAAAAATAATAAAATCTAACATCAGGCTGGATGCCAGTTCTCGCCAAGACTGAAGCCTGACCCTTTATTTGCCATGCCATGGTTTCCACTGTAATCCTCCCAATTTTTTTTGCTGTTTCTCCTCTGACACGAAATCTTGAGTTCTCTGCTCTGCCTACTTACAATTCTAATGTTCGTGAATACTGTCACCTTTCAAAGGGATTTTAGCAAAGATAGATAGGAACCAAGGCTTGGTAGCTGACAAATAGCCTGTAGCATTGCACTGTTTGATAATCCCTGTAGCTGAAAAATCCTAGTATATCTGCTGTCCTTCATATTCTGTCCAAGTGATGTGCTGTCACAAAACCTTTATCGTTCCTGAAGACTGCTGAATGGAAATGCACCTTCCTACTTGTCCAAGTGCGTTATGTAATTACACAAAAGCAATTGACCCCCTCCCTTGTCTCTCAACCTCTCAACTGCTCTTCCAGCCAAACTTAAGAACTCACATATAGATGCGCTAAAGTACTAAAAAAATGACTATTTACTACAGATACTGCTTTCCAACACCTCAAACGTATCTACATAGGGAGAAATGGTATTTTCAATGGGGGTTGTACTTGAGCACAAACGAGTTATGTTCTCCCCGTACGTTTTCTGAGGACTCCATTGTTCTGCATTGCGTGACTTCTAACTTTACCATAAATGACCATTAAGTAATTCAAATAGTCTATGCCTTGACGTCTAAAGCAGTGAACTTCCATGTACTCCATGCAACATAAACAAAAATTAGTCATAGAAGATCACCTTAGAAGGTCACTGTAATTTAGAACAATCTTCCCTGACAGGATACTGACAATGTAATAATACTGTAGTTGCCCTTCACCGGAGATACTCGTCCAGGGTATGTCTACAAACGTTTTTCAGCATGCACTATTCCTCCCCACCCTCAGTGTGGGTCTGAGCAGTTATTATTATTCCTCGTTGTAAGCAGAAGACGCTATGGCTGAGGGAAGCCGAGAACTGCACTCAGGATCACAGAGAAAGGCCGTGGTAAAACTAGATTTACAACATCAAGCTGAGTCAGACTCTTCTGAACCACACTCCCCTCCAACCAATTACCTAGCTAGGCTATAAAGTTCAAATGACTAATGTCCTTGAAAAGAAAGGATTTCTCTTAATCCCTCAGCTAATTTCTCTTTTTCTATATATGTGTGTGTATATATATGTGTACATGTACGTAGAGAAAGAGAGAGAGAGAGAGACAGGTGTGTGTGCGCTTGTATTAACAACGTGTTTTAACAGAAGGGTGTAACTCTCTCTTTTTGATGGGAATGAGCAAATATGGTATTTGATATTGTGCTGGTATGGCGACTTTGTGCTGGTTTTAAGTAACAAGGTCACACTGTAGCGGCCATGGAAACCCACGTCACTCAGCTGAAAGCAGAGAGACGAGCGCTGCCAAGGGGTACAGCTGCTTCCTCGTCTCTGCTTCGAGCAGAGCACCGCACGCGAGGAGGAGCTCAGAACATACCACAGCAATATGCAGGTACATTGACAGAGGAGTGGTCACACGCCCGTATCACTAATCACTGCCTCCCCACCCGGAGCAAGCTCAGCTTCCGGGTGCACAAACTTCTCTCGCTTACCTGCCTCTGAATACGCTCAGTTCGCGACCTGTTTGTATTTGAACAGTACACTAAAGAGCCAGAAGGCCAGGAAGTCCTCCACTAGCAGTGCCATGTTGGCTGTCTTTACCTCGGTAATAACTACAGAGGGGGTTTTGGGAGACGAGCGGAATGAAAAGCTGAGTTTACTTATTGGAGAAAAGAACAAACATAGGTGTTATCTTTGCATTCAGTTCTGCCAGGAAGTACTGGGTCACTTCCTGAATGTGACGTCATTACATTTTAATAGCATTACATCAGAGATAGATTGATTCAGTTTACTATATTGATTTTGTTTTCCAGTTAGGTAAAAAATGTCAGAAACAAAGAACAACGGCCACACGGCCATTCCTCACCCTGTCCCTTTGGCTCCCGTGCTTATTCTGGTTCTCTCTCTCTCCTGTTACACACATAGAGACAAGAGCACCCACGCTCCTTCAGCTACAAAAGCACACCAGGTAGGTGGTGCATACCTGGAGAGGCATACAATCTAGGATTTGTTGACATAATTAGTTATTTCCAGGCATTATTTTATCTATCAGCTATGGTAACGTCAGCAGCAACTGGAGAGCTATGGCTCCAAAGTGTTACCACAGAACGCTAATATATTAAAGTGTTGGTGATATGTATTTAGCACATGTACTAAATGGATATATATCAAAAGAACAAAAATGAGCTCTGATGTTTTAATTGATGCTTCTGAATCTAAAGCTCAGGACTTTTGCTACATTATCTTGCAAAACAGTTTGTTTCAATTCACCATAAAATACATCTTTGACTGAAAAATCATGTCTTGACCTTCACTCTTGAAGAGGAAAGTACTTAAAAGTGGCAGAAAGTCCCAACGCTCAAGCTTGGCAAGATACAATTTTTAGCTATTTTTAACCTAAATAGGTATTCAGCCTAGGCTCGAGAACAATAACGCAATCACTCTTCGGCGACCTACTGCGGCCAAGCCCTAACCTGGTGAGGAAGTATGAATGAAACAACGCTGCTGATTTTCCTTCCTAATTTACAGCTGTGCTATCGTAAACGAAAGGAGAACAAAAATGCCCGCAGTAACTTCAGCCTGCGGCGTGGTTACCGGTGGTGGCTGGGGCGGGTGCGGCAGCTCCGAGTTCAACTCCCCGCGTCCTTCAGGGCAGAGGACGCGGACTCCTCAGCTCTCCGTGCCAGCCCGAGGTTTGCTTAATAAAAGCAGGGCATCAAGCCCTGCACGGCAACAATGAAATGAGGGCATCGAGCCCCAAACATCCCTGTGGGCCTTTTAATCCCACCGCTGCTCCTACAGCAGCCTTCCCAGGGCACGGCCAGGGCCTGGCCAGCGGCAG